CACTTTCTGCTTCTGATTTCTGCTTCTGATGACACTGTATGACTTTGTAACAGCATGGGTGCCATCACTGCAGGCACAGAGAGGATGTTCTTGCAAGAAGAATGATACTGTAACGCATACTCAAAATGCAAAACAAAACCAAACCAAACCAAACCAAAAAAACACACTGCTGATCACTTTTGTAAGTTTCCCCCTTGTTTGTCCGCAAAAATCCTGGAGTACTAACTGTAAGTTCAGTAACGAACAGGAGAGAAGAACAAAGGGAGGTCACCTGGAAAAAAAAAAAAAAAAAAAAAAAAAAAAAACTTTCTAGAGTTTTCTCCGAGAAAATGGCAATGAACTTGAGCACTTCAGCAAACCTGTGTGGCTATGGCAGCAGGAACCAAAGTCTGCATTACCTCCATTACTTAGAATGGGAAAATGATGAGCCTTCATAGCAAGTCCTCTCAGATAAGGCATAGTGAAACCCACATATTATACCCATTTTTCTGTGTTACAAGACTCTGCGTTATGGAAAAGCTATTCTAAAAATTACAGAGCTCCCAAAAAGATGACAGCTCTGTCTCACAACAAATCTTCAGGTTTTGAAATTATTCTTTGTTCCGCATTGAAAGAACACAAAGTCCTTTGGTATCATTGTAAAAGGGAATTGCATCAGAGTTCCAATTTTATAAAAACCCATGCTTTCTAGTAATAGACTTGTTTTCTTTTCTCCCTGCCCTATCTGTGCAAGTGAGCACTGTACAGTCGAAACTTTATCAGAACAAATATGCCACCATGATAGAATTCCATTTTGACTGATGATGTATTTTAACTTAGAGTAACTAAATTAAAATTACTCAATTCATTACAGGACTGTTCACTGCACTTTAAACAATCTTAATGTCCAAAGCCTAGTAATTCCTCCCAGATATACCAGTGTAAAGTTAGAAGGGTTCTGCTCAAGAAGGCAAAGACGCAAGTTACTCTCATTGATGAGTATAGAAATGAATGCTTCTTTTGGATCCAATTTCGTTCTTGGTAAACAGACCTAAAGTTTATGCTGTATTCTCCTTACAACCTGTTTTACTATTGGAGTTCCCGCTCTACTGGGATGACTTAGGCCTCCCCATTTACTGTTATTCTCACAGCAGTCTCCCACCTCCTCTCAGCACAGGGCCATCTGCTGGGCCACACCAGCACGCAGAGATGCATGCACCACGTCCCAGAGATGGGCCACTTCATGGTGAGACGCTTTTCCTCTGCTGGTTTGCCCTTGTACCACAGTGGATACATTACAGCTATTACATATCAAACTTCCAATGATGCAGAAACTTTATGTACTGACAAGCCAACATTTGACAAAATGATGCTGTGGTTTCCAATACAATAATTAAAAATACCTGCTGGAAAGACTCTGTAGATTACAGAGGAAGTAAACAGTAGCATGTTAACACTCAGCATCAATATTCCAATGTGTAAAATTAAAGCAAAGGTCCCCAGTACCTTTATAAAATCCACTTCAAAGAAACACTAGGTTACTTACATTGAAAAACGGACACTAATTCTCTTGGACTGCATATATGGTGTTATTTCCACACATGATCCTGCACAGTTTTTTTTAAGAGTTATTATCAAACATAATCCCAATGCTGAGATTATATCAACAAATAATACCAGTGTGCTGGAAAGATAATTCAGAGTGATATCTGAAGCGTTATGAAAATACAAAGAGCTATTACAACTTTCCTAAAATTCAAAATACAAGGATGCAAAATCAATGATCAAAAGCAAAAGACAAAGTGAATGGAAGACAATGCCCTATCAAAATATACTGATGAATACTGACAGAATTTTACAAACAGTGAAGGATTAGGGGGAGAGAGAAAAACAATTAAAAAATGCATGGCATTCTCTAATGAAAGAAAGAAAGAAATGAACGAAACATTAATTTTCTGTTCAGTTCACCTGTGACAAAAAAGAACACTTTGATGGTCATAGAGCCTAAAACAAGTGAGAAATTTTTATTTATCTGCTTTTCAGCATTTGTATTTTGTCTTTCAGATAAGTCTTCCATGCAGCCAAGTAAAAAGTTTTACGATTGTTCTTCAAGCCCTTTTAAGTGTTGTTTCCCCCCCCCCCTTTTTTTTTCCTTAGCTTTCAAATAAAGCACTGTGTGCTGTTCTTTACTGTGGCTCATTTATCTTCTGCTGCTTCAGAGGAATATAGTACATGGGAGTTTGCATTGCTTTGTTTCTATACTGCATTTTAGCCTTTTGATTTCTACTGTTTGCCTCAGTAATAATGGATTTGCTAATGTTTGCCTTTAATTCTAATAGCAATCAAGTAACTGAATGATTTTCATTTAGAGGAAGTTAACATTTTCTTATCCACCCAGTTTGTAATATTTGATGTAATGGTCAAGCTAGCTGTAACTGCAGCATTTAAGTAATTTAAAAATAAAAGCTCGAGTATTTACTTCATAGACTAAGCTGAGTGAATGATTGCCTTGTTGCCCGAGCCAAGAATACAAGCTAATGCTTTCCAATTCTGTTATGGAGGGCAAAGGTTAATGAACATTTCTCTCATGTTTCTCTTCTCTATCTCTTCCCAACTGATTTTTTTTTCAGACCTGAAATATGCATCAGTAAAGGCCAGGTGCCAAGAACTAACAGATTATGCTGACTTGTCGTGTGCTCTTTTGGCAGATTTTACAATTACAAGGCCCAGTCCTACAGCCTTGATGCGTGCACAACTCATGTAAGACCCTGGGAGCTTTGTGTCTCAAGAGCTGTAGCTAATGACGAATTTTGGTACAGCCGCTGATTCAGAGCATCAGGGGCAACTTTGGCTTGGGATTTCATACTCGCAGTTTTATACACAGATGTGGGTATTCTAAATTGTGTTTCACTTAAAAGTCATAGAAGAGTAACAGAATGGTATTGTTGCTCCAAGCTCCCACTGGAACTGGCCCAGAATTGAAACCCATGGAAACACAACAGCAAAATAAAGAGCAGGACCTGGTCTGGTGAATACCATTCACTTTGAGAAATTGTAAGAACACTACATGATTCCGTACTGGTAACTTTGTCTTCATTTAATTGCTGGAAGACAGGTTGTAATTGGTTCATCTTTCATAATTGTCTTGGAACTTTCTGTGGTCATTTGTACATCCCTTACAACGTGGCATCTTAACGCTCCCACTCGTGCACATTTTCTGCCTGATACTCACCTCTTCCCATATCAACTCTTTTACATGGCTGAGCTTCAGCACAACTTGTGATTCCATTGACTTCAGGAGAGGGGAATGGAGAACATGATTTGGATCAGATCTACTGCTCTGTGTGTTTACCATCAGCAAATTATTCTAGATACAACTCAGTTCTGAAAGCATTTTTAAATAAAAAAGTCTCTAAAAATTTAATTAGAAACAGAAAGCTTATATTTAAAGGCCACAATCAAGAAATGCGTATTTCAACAGTTATGATTCAGCTTACAACATAACTGGTGAAGGCCAGACCCTCAGCTAGTGTAGTTACCCCCTGCAGTCACTGGAACTGCACTGTGTCAGATCTGGTGCTTGCCCTTAGTGTTCAAGCTCAATGCAGAGGATTTACTCTTTATTCCTTTCTCTTTTCTTTTTTCTTTCCATTTATTTTCTTTCTATTTCTTTTGTAAACAAAGCACAATATTTCCTTTTATAGGAAATTTTATTTATTCCCAAAACACATGACAGTAATTTAAAATATATAAAGCGGAGGTTTTAATTCTAGCTATTTAGAATAAGCTTTATATGTAAGCCTGCTCAGCAAAAAATAAATGATCCATTTTGGTCTGGGATGTCAGCTTTATGAAGTTTTTAAAAATGGTCTTTTCTCCCTCAAAGGAAGCTGGGAGAATTAATGTTCCTATAACGTTGTAGATTTAGCATTAGGAAGAAAGGCCTGGAAACACTAATATTTATATACGCTCTAAAGCAAAAGACAAAACACTTTACACGCTTATCTGCATTTTTTAAACTTGTGCCTTGCTTGGGGAATTTAATTTATGATTTCAGACTTCCTCAAGCTGTGCCTAGTGAATATACCCTGCTTCCAGTCACAAGCTGAAGATCCAAATGCTGAAACCATCCCTTGGCCAACCAAAGGTCTGAAGGACAGCTCCTGTCCTCGCTGCAACAGCGAACAGCATCTTTTACACGTGCATTTCACACAGCAAAGCTTAAAATTCACAAGTCCTATTCTCTCTCTATATATGTATTGAGTATAACGTCAAGTAAGAGGAATACTTGTGTTTCAACATTATGATAACTAGGAGATTTGGGGTAGATGACAGAACTGACCGGTGTCATTCTGACACCTTGAGGTGCTGGATTTTACATTGCTGAGAATTAAATGTAATATCCAAATGACCTGAAACTCTCCAGACTCCCCTCTCCTCTAGGATCCCGTTAACGACTGCTTTACACCGCCGGGGCACTTTGCAGACATTCAGAAGCCGCTGCCGAGGAAGGTAAGCCGTATGGTGCCCGCCCCCCCCAACCCGAGAAAGCCGAGCTCGGTTACTGCGGGCCCTCAGAAGCCGCCACAGCTCCGAAGCCCGGCCCGGCCCGGCCTCAGGAGCAGGAGCACCCCCGGGGCGCCCCGCGCCCCTCTGCCAGCCTGCCTGGCCTCGCTGCACTAAGGGGGCAGGGGCAGGGGCTGGGGCAGGGGCAGGGGCAGGGGCTGGGACAGGGGCAGGGGCAGGGGCAGGGGCAGGGGCAGGGACAGGGACAGGGGCTGGGGCAGGGCAGGGCTGGGGCAGGCCGTTTCCAGGGCCGGGTGGGGGCAGTCTCGGGCCGCCGCCGCTGTGGGGCCCCGCAGGCGGGGCCGGGAAGGCGGGCGCGCTGCCCGCGGGTGCTGCGGGGTAAGCAGGTACCCGGGGCCGCACGTGTCTGTGTTTCTGTATGTATAGAGCTAATTCAAGCTAATGAGGGAGTTTGGGCTTTTTTCTTTCTTTTCTTTTCCTTTTTTTTTTTTTTTTTTTAACACTTGCTAGAATGTCAGCGTTAGGACAAGAGGCCGGCCGTGGTGCCATATATGTGTGTGTGTGTATATTTAGGCTTTGGCTTTGCTGTGAAACTGCTCATCTGTCTCCTTCACGTCAGTTTCAGAGGTCGTTTTCCCCTCTCGTGCAGCAGCTGGTGTTTGGTTTTATAATGATCCCTGGTGCAGGGTTATTCCGGGGTTTCTGCGGGCGCTGGGCTGTGTCCCAGCTGTGTTTGTTCCTGTAGGCGCAGTAGCAGTGCAGGCCGTGCTTTGCTCATTCCTCAGGCGTTAGTTTGCTATTTAAGCCTAGTTACAGCGCTCCGTTCTGGCAGTGGGATTAGCTGTATGCCTTTAACTACAGAAATGCAGGCTGTAGAATTGAGCTTAGGTTCAGTAAACTCGTTAGCGCTCAGCTCGTCTGCGAGTGTTTGTGTAAGGCTCAGGGGTGTGCAAGGGGTGCTGGGGACACAAGAGGTGGGTCCTGTCAAAGGGGAGTTTGAACTATAGCAGGCTCTGCCTTTTTAATGCTGTTGTTTGGTATAGTGCACCACTCCTCAAAATGCTGTAGAAGTCTCTCTGTTCGTCAAACATTCCAGGTTTTTCAAAGAAAGAAACTAAGAAATTAGCCTTTAAGCTTACAAATATTATGGAGAGCTCAAAAACCATAAGCAGGGTCAGACAGTCTGTCCAGCCTGTGGTTTGTCTTGGACATCAGAAAGCAGAGACTATTTAGGGAAACTGGCCCAGCTGCTTGTTTCCACTTGTGTTCTCAGCTGACAGCCCCATTTCATGAGGGAAGCCATACACTGCAGGTATCCTCTGCGCTTTTGTCTGGCTTAAAGATTTTTGTTGCTTTCACCGACTGCTTCCTAGATCTAATATTGCAGGAAAAAGTTCTGCTTTCAACTTCGTAATGCTCAACTGTGTCCTCCCTCAAGCTCCTCTCCAAGCCAAGCAGCTGCAGGCATCAGTTTGCCTCCCTGGAGCAGCTGTAGCCGGGCTCACTTGATCTGAATTGCCCTTCGTGAGCTGAGACCAGAACGCTCCTAGCAATGAAGATGTGGGCCCTGCCAGGTTTTCCTAGTGCTAAAACAATGCCCTGTGATGGTCTCAGTACCTTTCCTCATGATGCCCAGCATTCGTTGGCTTTTTGGCTGCCACTGAAAAACAGAGATGTGGTCAGGATGTTTTCAGGATGATATAACTGCATGGTTATTAATGCTGACTTCAATGATTCTAAAAATTTACAAATAGGGTGATAATTGCTATTATGCAAGGGGATTTTGAAAATCAGGTAGTAAGTAGGTAACTCATTTCTATAAAGCTGTTTCAGAATCTTACTTTGTTCTTTGTTTAGATAGAAATCCTTGTACAGATGAAATATTCTTAAGGGCAAGCAAAGCATTTTGGATGATAGGCAAGCCACATACATGTTTGTTTAATTTCTTTGAATTTTTGATTGTACAGGATAGAACAAGTAGAAATTTGAAGTTGATTACCTAATACAAAGACAACAAGCTATGTGATCTCCTGTGCCTAGAAACCATTTACTTAAACAGCCTTATTGCTATGCAAAATCCTCAGTGTTACTAGTCAAATTCCTAAGGTAGTGTAAGAAATGCATGCAATGTGTTTCATTTTGATGGCTTAAGTGTTGATTGCAGATAGCCTTCGTACTGTCAGCTGTGCTCCACTTAGGGACACCTGAATGATACTGAATTGGAGGTGGGGTGGGATGGGAGCGTTTCATTTCAAACAGCAGCTTTCTGTACTTGGTATTAACTGCAAAATGAGAAAACGTATCATGCTGTTAACAAAGTGAGCAGTTCTGTGTGTTGCAGGAAGATTCCTTCTTGCTGCCCGCAGGTGGTCAGGTAAACTTCGAAGTATAGGTAGAGAGCCTTCAGTTAAGTTCTTCATTTTATTCTAATTCTTTACTTTGATAGAAGATATCTTCCATGTAACTGTAGAGCCACTGAAATGCTCTTTCATAACTCCCCAGACTGTGCCGTGAGTTACTTTCTTCTGATGTACTAGACAGCAAATAGTTATCCCTTTTTGGAACAAGAAAGTGAGCAGTGCAATTATAGATGTTGTTTTACTTTTGGTCTTGCTGGATGTTCTGGAAATCCTGCATTACCTTGTAGTCGCAATAAGCAATTATTTCATGGCTGAGTGTTTTACAGTAGTGGATTTAGGGGCTCCATTTATTTCCTGCCTTTTAAAGCCCACTTTTGGTGATTGAACATGCTTTCTTTGCCACTTAAATGTCTACCATTTGTGAGCAGCTTGTATTTTTGTTACTAAATTTGCCTTAGGTCCTGATGAATGTATTTTGCTAACTGTAAGAGAACTCCAGAATGAGTTGATAGGAAAGAAATTACTGGCTTTGCAAAGGGAATTGTTGAAGTCGTATAAGAATTTGTTGTGACAAACAAGCCAGTGCTTCATCTAAATCAGCAACTTATGCACTTAAAATTAGTCATTCCAGGTCACAGTTCTGCATATATTCTCTTTTTTGGAAATTAATATATTGTTTCTTGTGGATAATTGAATCATACATGTAAATGGAAGGGTGACTGTTGGTTGCATAAAACAGCATGTAGAAGAGGAAAATCAAAACTTACAGGCTAATGTGTAAGGACAAGGAATGGAGAAGTAGTTGAATGTTAGGTGTTGAGAGATCACTAGGGGTTGTTGGATAAGTAACTATAAAGCCCACACTGTACTGAGTCCAGGAAGACACCTGGATTCAGTCACAGTCTCTTGAGCTTGTTGAAACGCTGCTTAAAGGATGTACTGCTGCTGTGCAGTGCATGCTGAGACCCTACAGTACCCAGCAAGGGCTGAATGGATGTCGTGGGTAAAGCTGCTCTCTTTTTACTTCTTTTCTGTGTAGTTCTGGGCTAGCATAGTACTACTGGGTTTGTCAAGTGATTGTACAACCAGGTGCAACAGCTGCAGAGCTACATGTCTAAGCACTGTTGTGTATTGTATGGGCAGTTACAATGAAATGCTTTTTTTAAAAAAATATATATATACTTTAACAACTGGGCAGTGTTCCCTGAGAATATAGAGAAAGAGTGTAATAACAATATGCAATGGTTTGTCCTTACAAACTTTTTTTCTTCTGCTTAAAGAAGAGTAGATAAGTCTAACTACCAAAAAATACTGGGTAAAATGCACTGTATGTGCCTTGTAACAATACGTGAGCTTGCTGTTGATGCGTGTGAGTGGTGTTTTTTATGGCCACATTCCTGTTCGGGAAATGGGGCCCCTATGAATATGAACTGTACAGTATGAGGGTCTGAATTAAGAATACAGAGAAGAAAGTGTCCTACAGAATCCTATTGTGGGAGCACGTTTACAGACATCTTAATGGCTAAATTCTGTGGACCAAATGCTGGCATATCCCTGAGTGTATTCATGGTTATAAACCTGCAAGAATTCACAGGCCTTTTTTTTTTTTTTTTTTTTTTTTTTTTTTCTTAATGGAAATAAAAGGACAACTTCTCAGTTATTCTCTATTCTCTAAATTTGGGCCACAGACACACTGCAGTTTTCTTTTATTTTTTTTGTCCATGGTTAGCTCTTGGGTTACTACCATTTGCTGGGGAAATTACTGCCTGGATAAGCGTATTTACTTTTTAATGTTGTGGTTGATTTGAATTCCCTGGCACCATCTTGTGGGTGTTGAGATTAATGTTTGTTTTCTTAAGGCTACTACTAAGAATTCTGCTGCCCCAGTTCTTTGCACTTCAAAGCCATTTAAGCAGTCACCAGATTCAATTTTAGCACATATTTTAAACTGGGTGATTCCTGTGATCATTTGATTATTTTTCATGTTTTGTCCACGTGTGCTTTTCACTGAATTTTAGTGCCATTCAGTTCCAGTTTCTTATCAGTGGAGTGGAAATTGGGAATGAAGTTAAATACAGAACTAATTTTTTCTTTGGAAAAAAATATTAAAAGGGCAGAATGAGGGTAAATCATATTTAAGGTGATTTCAGAGATGTAACTGCACCAAAAAAAACTCTAATGATTTGCACTTTCAAACTGAGCTACTAGCTAAAATCTGAGCTAAAAGAGGCATAGATTTATACTTAGAAACTTTTTTTTTTGAAAAGAAAAGTGGAAAAAGAAAAGGCAGTATTAAAAGGTTTTGTTGGCTTTTCTGGGAATGGGCATTTCCCCACTGATACAGCCTGAAATAAAGCGATTGCAAGAAGAAGGCCTCATACTGTGATGTGGAGGATTCTAATCTCAGGAAAGGAAGAGACAATTTGGCAGAGGCTGCTTTCTCTATTAGCCCCCCAGGCATTTGGGATTCAGGACACGGACTCCCTGCAGTTTTCTGTGAGGTTTCCTGTGCATGGATAGCTTTTTGGTCACTACCATTTGCTGGGGAAATTACTGCTTGGACAAAGCAGAAGGAAAAATGGCAAGTACCCCAAAATTCAGCCTATCTAAAGCAAAAGAGCCCAATGCACTACTGAAGACAATATTTGAAATGCTTTGGGCCCCTTTTCACAGGTATATGTAGGGGAAAAAGCTGATTTCTGTGAGGCTGTATAATCTGTTGCTCTGGTGGAGCCTGCAACAAGCTTGAAGTTGGTTAGGGTTGCTTATTTTTTTAATCTGATTTAGAAACTGTGGTGAGACTTGCATTTTCTAACTGAAAGTCGGGCTTTAAAAAAAAAAAACAGAGGCACCTTCATCCTTCTGATGTGCTGAATATGATAGAAAATCATGTGTTCTATCATGTACTTTGTTAATGGCTCTACAATGCAAGTTATGAAAGATTTCATGAAATGAAGAAGAAACCAAGTGCACCTGAGTCATTGGAAATAACAATAATATGATCCATCATGTGGCCCTGAAAAAGCCATTTTAGAGGATTAGAGTGTCATATTAGGCTATGCAGAATATTTATAGCCACCTTATGAAATTCTTCATGGCTTGAGTGAGTAACTTTTTGATAAGTAAATAAAATATCACCCTACATTGTGCATTTTTCATCTTTTCTCTTACCCAGATATTTACCTGTATATCCCCACCTTCCACTTGAATAATGAGCATAACATAAATATGTCACTGCTGTGGAGGATTGCTTTTAGTGAAAGCACGCATTGGGAATGTAGTGACTGGAGTAACTTCTGTTAGAGCAACAGCTCCTTTTAGTAACAGCATGAGAATCTTTGGTATCTGGTCATATTTTTAAGGGATATTTGTGTGCTGTGGTTTGCTATGATTTGGGTCAGCTAGTAAAATATGCTGTTATTTTCTGACTTTGAGAATGTGTCTTACAACCATAATACCCTTGACATCACCTTGTGGAACTCACTGGGCTCAGCTAAATAAATTTCTATGAGGCAATGAGGTGGCCTAGTGAAAGAATGAATTTGTGCAGCTTTAACTTGTTTGAATCTAAATTTCATATAAACTAGTCTAGATTTACCCTCGTGGGAGGAGATAACATTTTTATCCTGCGCTAGAATTTGATTTCTTTCTGCACTTTTCAGAAATCGTACTCAAGGGTGAGTCTGCATCGCAGTGTGCACGTATGAGTGTCTTGTCCTCCAGTTTACTAATTTAACAGCTCATGAATCAGACTGCACTGCTCAGCACTCCATTGTGCTCCTGATAATTAATCAGATATGGCTCTAATTACTGACTTTCAGCAGAACTTAACTGTGGTCATCTGTAATGTCATCTATTATTGATGTCTTGTAGGAATGTAAGCAACAGGAAAAGAACTTGCATTAATTTTCTAATGAAAACTATGTGGGTTTTTTTCCATCATCATAACCTCTATCATATTGCTTAAGTGTGGCTTCCTCATTTGAAGGTATTTGTTCTTTTAAGTATAGCTGCATGGAGCCTTTCTGAGCTGCAGGCAGTACCCCAAGCACATAAGGTAACTGGCTTTGAGCAAGAAGACAGCTGCTTGGCCAAGGCTACCGGTGCACCTTGTCAGGAGCGAGCGTGCCCAGCCCTTGTGCAGAAGTGCTCACCAGAGGGAGCCATGCGCACTTGTTGCATGAAACGCGAACCTGCTGCTACAATTTATCTCCTGCAAGCCCTTAGTCTTTAACTCATCCCTTTTGTCATCAAAAACAAAAGCTGTAATGCTCGGAGGTGGCATATCTTCATGCGCTCTGTTCAGAGGTGTGCTTTTACTTGTTGCCGTTATTTGTGAATTTTGAGGACAGACAGCAAAGATGAGAAAAGGTGTTATATTTTGCCCTCATGTCAGGAGGGAACATGCATTGTCACAAGATGTATTGATAAAATGTACTGATTTTATGCAAAAATCAAATGTGGTTGTTTATTCTAAAAAAAAAAAGCTTTAAAAAGAAGTGAATTACTAAGCTCAAATATACAAATTAGTATACTACCTGATAAGAGTGACGAAGCAGAAGTGTTAAATGACTTGCCCCCAAGGTTTCTATTGAATGATTCAAAATGATTTGAAAATAGGTGAGGTCTTACTGTAGGAATAGCATAGGAAATAAAAAAAAAAATGGCATATCAGCAAAAAGGAAAAAAAATGAAAAATTTGTTAAAGCAAGAGATACAGATGAAAGGCTGAAATGTAAAAGCTTTTTTTTCTTTATCTCCTAATGCACTTTAAGTACTTTCTTTTAGAATTCTGAAATGCGGATTTGTGGAAGATGTTTAACTGTATGTAGCTTGTAAACAAAAGCAGTAGTTTGTCACAGAAGTAGTAATTCCTATGAGGGCGAAGATGTGCAGTAGATCTCTACAAATCAGGTCACTTCAGTTTTGATATATATGAAGCTAAGTCCAGCCACAGAAATAGTTGAATGTTATTTCCTGTTTCACAGTTGTGGAAGTGGAAGCACAGAGATAAGGACCTGACTTCTAAAACATGCTTAATAATTGCTTTCTGCTGATTAATATCATTGCTATATTGAAGCACTCCTAAAATTTGGTTACCTAGGAGGTACTAGAGAGCTTACTTTCTATGTTGCAGCCCTGTTTTAGATGGTGTGCTCTGTCCTTTCTTCCCCTCCCAATCTAAGGGTGTTGTGCGTTTTCCATAATTCTACTCTGTTTGAGGTCAAGGTACATATTTTGACTTAATTGGAATTTCTTTTTACAGTCTTGCCATGAAAATGAAGCAGTTGATTTACCCATATACACCTTCCGCAAAAGTACTTGGTATTTCAGCTAGACTTGGGAGCAGCAACAGGAGGAAACACTTCAATTTTATGGGGCACCATTAATGGAAGATGCATTATGTAGGGACAATTGCTAGGGAACAAATTCATCCGAGATTATTTATTTAACTAAGTACATTATTGATGTTACACCTGGGTGACTTTGTGCAAACACATATAGCAACTAATAGGTGCAAATTGGGATTAGCATATTGAAATTGATGCAGGCTTTTACTAACTACTGCTTTCTTGGTCTGAAGGCCATTTGGCAATGGAAGACAACTTATCAAAGTATTCGGGGCTGGTTTAATGGCTTACTTTTATGGAACACATGGAACAAATATATTCCCCTAGCACGATGTGCACACTCCGTAAATGCCTGATAATGGCACAGTCACCTACTTCCTTGGTTGTTGCTTGTATTCAGATGGTGAAATTAGTTAAGGGCATGTTGCTTTGTGTGTAGGTAAAATGCATGTGACTGATTTGAATGGTTGGAGGCATTTGTAACTGTAGGAGCACAGTGGTGCTGCAGCACTTAGTGCAACTGCCACTACAGCTCATGAGATGAACGGGTCAGGAGAACATTATGGTGTTTAGAGTTTTCTTCTCTGATTGATTTCTCAAGGGAGCTTAGCTGAAAAATCAGTTGATGTGAAGCACTCATCGCTAGCTATAAGGAAGCCAGAAAACGTAATGAGGATTCTACTAATAGAATCCTCTAATACTAATAGATACTAATAGAATAAATGGAGGAAGTGTGAAATGAAATAACTTTTCTTCACTTCTTTAACAATATGCTATACTTAATTTTGCTTGGGGAATTGGTATCTTAAAATATACTCAGGGAGTATGCAGAATCTAAATAGCATTCACTCCAGCTGGAATCCTTTACCAGAAGTCTTCCTTCTTAATCCAAAAGAGAGGCACACACAAAACACTTCCCTGGGGATGCAGCTTTCCACCCTTCCCAGCTTGAGGTGATCCCAAACTGATGGACTTCCACGTGGTAGAGAAAGATTTACCTATTTTGAATAGGAAAGAGAGAGGACTCTCTCTTGAAAGCTTTCTTTGGAACCTTAAAAGCTTTACTGTACCTGCTGAGTAACTTTAGGTTACAGTACATAGGGATACTAGGAATAAAAGTACTGCTGTTTTGATTTTTCTTTATATATTTATATATGATGTGTACATATAAATAAATATCTTCTAGAATGCCTCTTTACTACCTGTTTGCCATTAGTGTATTTTTATTTGATCTTTTTCCTTTTTTTTTTTTTCTTATTTTTAATTTCCATTAGCTGTACTGTCTGGTTATCATTGGGAATTACAGGTTGAAGTCCTTCCCTAGAGGTATAAGTGAGTCAGAACTGCAATCAAACCATCCAAGGCATCTTTTTCAGGTGAGAAATAAAGAAGAATTAAACGTGTAATAGAGTTAAAAGTTTCTTTAAAAAAAATAAATAAAATATAACTTTCAACATGGCAAAGGAAAGCACAGCAAAGGAAGCATAAGCTACATTTCAGTAGAACAGAAGAGAGGATGCCAGAGGCCTTGCTAGAGCTGCTGTTGATAGATGAAACTGGGAAGACTGAGTATATATTGGCCCCCTGAACAAGAGAGTAAGAGGAGTGCTGCCTACAATCTGGATGGAGCTGAATGAATACTACTGATTTTAGTTTCTCATGTAATACTGTCCAAGCCTACCTGCAAGGCTGGATGCTGAGCAACATCATTATAGTTATTACTGTAAAAAGTTTGTGCTTCCAGGAAATTCTTAGTCTAGAACTAATTAATTTCTTATTGGGAGTTCAACATTGACTAATCTGAGGCAACAGAATTCACCCAGCAAAAAGCTGGAACTGTAGGAGAACACTTAAATATTATGGTAACAATCTGGTTTTCAGTTCATCAGATAGCAATTTTTTTTTTATCTTTTTCAAGGCAGAAGGATGTTTCCCAATAAAATGAAGATCTGCTTACAGAATTCGTGATACTGAGGAAAATTCTTGAGTTTGCTTTTGTTCTGAATAAAGCAGCTGTAAAGCTTGTATACAGCCCTCATGTATGAGCACGTTAGTGTCTCTGCAGGGTTAGTGAACCAAAGTGGAGGGACAGATTGCTGTGAAATGCGCTTTCCACAGCTACTGCAATTGTAGACCATAAAATTGTTGCTGACTTTGATTGTTATCTCCAGCCAGTGAGTCTTCTCACACCCCTGTATATTTCCGTTAGGCTAGAGGGGGGATCTTACTATGTGTACTCAATGCTAGACAACGAACTCATAGTACGTATGCTTCAAATAATTTTATCTATTAAGAGTTTGCAAACTGCCAACATTTCAAAAGTGGAAATATTAAAACTTGTTGCTGGGTGCACCAAATGCTGTTAAATGGTGCAGTCCAAGTCTTCAGAGTTAAATCCTACAGTAAATTCTATAAATGAACTGATAGAATTTGCAAATATGAAACATAAACTGGGCTTTATTTTAACCATTATTGTGAAATTGTTCTAAGGAAGTAAAGGGGAAAAAATACGTAGGGGGAACATAAGGACTCAGACCAGTGAGCGGTGGGCTCTGAGCTACAGTGCTTTGGTAGGCTGCAGCTCTGGAACAGAGCTGTGCTGCGCAGGGCACAGAATCCGTACCAGGTTTGGTCTGTTTCGGGCCAGGGCTGGGCTCTGATGCTTGGCATGCAGTAGTTTTCTGTGCTGCACATGGGTGTGAGCATTGTCGGGATAATTTCAAGTGCCAAGAAGACAGCCCATCTAAAAACCCTGATCACAGACATATGTAGGACACAACTGTTTGAATCATGCCTGGTATATTTTGGACCAATTGTAAAAAGAGGTATGCAAATAAGGAGCACCAAGCACAGTAACTAACTCAACCCAGTTCCTACTGCAGCAAGGCTCCTAACAGCATTGCTCCCCACCTGCTATTCCTATATCCATAGCTTTTTAATGTCCCCTGTGTTTTCTTGTAACAGCCATAGTTTCTCTTCCCTGCTGTTCCCTATCGTTGATCCACCATCACTTGCTCTGCCATCCAATGAAGAAACTGAGGAGGCAGTTGCTGATAGTGTTCAAAGTATGTGCAGACTGGCTGCCTGGCCACCAGCCACGGCCTGCCTGCCTCTGAGGAAGCCAGACCTGTAGGTTTTGGTGTTACATGTGGGTTTTCGCCATATGCTGCACAGGTCCCATTTAAGAACTTAATTAAAGGAAAAAAAAGCGCTTTTGACAGGCCTGCAGGTTCTAAAGTTATTAATAGGGGGCTGACAGAAAGACAGCATGAAGATGTTTTTTGGTAAGAACAGATTAAAAATAAAAACTCAAAATTCTGACAGTTTTGTATAAATGACTACATGAATTTCTAGAAATGGTTTCTAGCTATTTATGCATATAGGGAAAAAACCTGTTGATGATCTCCTAACTAGTATAAAAGTATGTGTGCTTCTGAGCTAATACTTTGTGTGTTGTAATGATGCAGCAAACTGAACTTTTGATACATTCCCAATGTTTCAAGAATATGTGGTTCTGAGAACAGCACTGCTTTCATTTTGAGGGACAATGGGAAGACTGCTCTTTTGTCAAGTTTGTCTTTTTTCATCTTTTTTTTTTTTCTTTAGGCTGGAATTGTAGTTTTGATGTCAATGAAGAGCAGGATACCTCTCATTCTTCTAGCTTGTGGCTCCTTTAACCCCATCACAAATATGCATATGCGTTTATTTGAGCTGGCTAGAGATCACCTGCACCAAACAGGTCAGTAACGGTTTGTTAGGATCACACATACGTGGTGTTTTCCTGGGAAAAGGAAGACACTTCTAACACTTATTATAGCTAAGCTGTCACTTCACAGTTGGCTTAACTTTATTATTTTTTATTTGATGACTTGATATGAAGCTTTTGTGGAATGTTCAATATAGAAATTCTAGCATTACCTCTTCCTTTGACTTACTGCATTAAAAAAGGTATCACGAGTGTCTGTGCAACTGAACTGAGAACTTTATCAGCAGTTTTAGAATCCTATGTATGGAATAGACTGAATCTTGTGAGAGACCTTCAATAGTTTTCAAACTGAAAAAAACATTTATGTTCAGATTTCATTCTTTATGATATGTTGTATTTTAAAATGAAGAAGTGTTAGAGCTAGCAGCTTTGACAACTGGGTGAAACTGGAGAAAAGATGAAATGTTAATTATTCATTATCCATCTTCAGTAAGAGGTACAACTTATCTCCTCCAGCAAAATAACTTCTTCAGAAAAGTGATCATAAAAGCTAGATGTCAGCAGGCTAGAAAGTTTCAGCAACAAAGGAGAAATCTGGGTAATACCAAAAACTTAAGCAAGACTGAGAAAAGCTTTGGAGGAGCATTGTGCTCTAAGCTTGATAACTGCTTAGTTGCTGAGGCTTTTATCTTCCTTCTGGCTGCTAAAATGTACACATACCTCTGGAAGAGGTTGGAAGGGAATCATAGCTTACTGGAACTTGACAGGGATGTTTCTAGGTGGGTTGTGCAATAGGAACATGCATAAAAATTTATTTGGTTCTTAAATGTGGATGGGGTGGGTGCGGGAGGGAATCTGGTAAACCCTCTGGTATAGCTGTGCGGTAAGAGCTGCAGCTACATACTCACCATATAGTGTGAGAGTTGTTTGCTTTTTCATGAGAAGAATTGTACAACTGGCTCTGAGAGCTGCTTTTATGATTTTGTGTTTTTCTGAAACAGTAAAATGATACTGTTTCTCCTGGAGGACTAGAAATAAAGGGTTAAGGGACTTGCATTAGCTTTTCTTACTGTAATTTTTAACTCCTTTGGGTTCCCAGGTGTGCAAAGAGTAGAAAGGCAATGTGAGACCAACCGGTAATTCTCTTACATCATGTGTTACAATCAAGTAACTTTATTTCTTTACCTTGAAAGAAGGGTTGATTTGGGAAATGAATTATGATTCTGCCTGAATTGCAATTATGCCCTGATCTGTGCCAGGGTCTCTGTAACAAGGCTCCAACCTTTACTCAGAGAAATTTATTTAAACAGGTCTAGTGAAAATCATATTAAAAATAAAATTTTGAATGGCTGAAATGAAATTTGTGCCTTACATCGTGACTAACGTCAGTCCTTTGTTCTGGATAGGGTACGACTTGCATTTTGACTTCTTAGTTCAATGTACAGGGATTTCCTGGTATAAGTACTTCTTACACTGAAGAAAGTGAAATTTATTACATCTGGGCTGCCTACAGTGTAATCCTTGCGCCTTTTGAATGTTTAACCCAGTAGTTATGCAAAGCAAGAATCCTCAATTAGCTTGTGGGAGCTTTAGTTATCTCAAGCAGAGGTAACTTTATGTGAAGTAACTTTTGCTCAGAAGGAGCCCTAGTTGCAGGCTGGGAGCTGACAGTGGGGCTGGGAGACAGTGGTTATACACCTCTAGAGCTTGCTTGTAGAAGTGAGGCAGTGGTCTGCCATGTTTGCGTTGACTCCCTTCAGTCACAACAAATACTGAACGCTTGAAAAAGTAGCTAGCATGAGTGCAAAATAAACGAGCATGAGAAGCAATGTTGCCAAGGCTGGAGAAATTACTTACTGCTGGTGCTAGTTCTGTGTTTCTATCGCACTGCTAATCAGGCAGAATTGATGGGTTGTGCAATAGCTTGGCTGGACTTGACTTCCCAGTCAAGTTTTACTGTGACAAATGACATGACTGCCCCAGTGTGCATCCTGACTGACAACTCCAGTCATTCTCTCTACCAGCTTTTTGCCCATCATTTCATTTTCAAATGCTGTCTAATCTTATTTTATGGAGTTTGATACTTCAAGCAGCATCTACAGTTTCATTGCCACAAGTCAAGTAATTCAACCTTTTTGTTAATATCAGTCACCAAATCTTGTAATGCCACCTTCTAAATACAACAGACATATCTACACGTGACAGAATAACTTAGTTTATCTGAATTTTGTTTCAAGTCCTATCAGTTTGAGTCCTCACACACAACTAGAACTTCCTCAGATTTGATTCCTTGTTTTAAGATATTCTTGAAATTTGAAATGATTTTGCCAAATGCCTTTTCATTCATAATACCTAATGTCAGATGTTTTTTTTTCTTTGGTGGTGTTTCTTAAATGTGACCATTAAGTCCAAAGTGATAGAATCAGCCTGCGTAAGATGTTCAGAATGTTGTTTGCCAAATATTGCCAGCGGAGGATGCTTACATCACCAAGATAAGACCAGAAGGGATGCAGGGCAAGGGAGAGGGTGTGAAAGACAAGATGTTTCTGGCTGTGACAAAACAGATTCAAGGAGGAGGAGAAGGAAAATCAGTTACTATCTTATGAGAAGGTGGGGAAAAAATGTGAGACATTGGTTGTCAGATGCAGTTCTGGGCAATGCAACTGAGAAATCCAAGGAGTCACCAGCAAGTCCTGGGAATTCAGAAGCTTATGTTCAACCCAATACTGTCAAAAAAAGAATGAGATCAGATTATAACTGCAGCGTGTCAACTGGAAGTCAATGTGTTCATGCTGTTTTCTTGAAAAAATTTTGATAACCAGAATTTTAACACAACACAAAAAAAGGCTTTGATTCTGCTGCTTGTGTAGTGTGTATAGCAACACAGCTATGATTGGTCTAGGATCAGATCTGCAATAGTTACCCATTGTCAATATTTATTGTACGTGCAGACATTAGTTAGGATTAACTGAATGTGAATTAAAGGAAACAAATCTTTAATTTTCTGTGTTTTAATGAAAAGGCTTACAGCAGTACTTGCTTAAATAGAGCAGTACTTTAATTATACTAGGCTATATCCTTGAAAGATACATGGGGAGATGTGCGCGTGGCTTAGCATCCAGAAGGAATTAAACTACTTTGCAGAGGTGCAAATCAAAGTATAAATCTTAAGACATCTCAAGATAAACTGCATCTCTACATAAGAAGCTTCCATTACATAAAACTCAATTTTCTCAGTCCTTATTAGTGCATACAGTTAGCTCCTAATCTTTTACTGAGTTTAGGAAATTCAGGATAGGGTGTCCTGTGAGCAGAGTACTGTAACACGTTAATATTCATCCTGTTACTCTCACAATGCTGACTTTCTCCGTCCCCTCTGTAGGAAATGCTCATTTGCATAGCTGTCAGGATAGGGTTGGTGGTCTTTTTTTTTTGTTTTTTTGACAAATCCAGTGAACTCTAAGAGAAGTGATATTTTGAGGTCTTAGTAAGAAATGTTTATTCTAGATGTGATACGTGGAGATCATACAGTGTTTGAGGACTGATCATTGTGTATCCCCAGGAACTGTTCTCCAGCAGAGGAGTAACTGAAGCCACAACTTGTTTGAGAGTGGCTGGTGGCTGTCTGACTGCAGAGGTAAATCTGCATCTTCAGGCCCTGTAGTTTGCTCAGCCAGGTGGATATGATTTATGTTTGTCTAGGTACTTATATGGCATCTGTCACTACAATCTTTGCACACCTCATCTATTTCAGTGAATGCATCTTTCAAGTACTCTGAAGTGGTGAAGGTAAAGCCATCCATCCTATGAAGAGCTATTGCAAAAGATTGTCCATTACTGTTCTGATATATTTGTTGTTTGCTTTGACTTTCAATGCAATGGCAGCTAAATTGTTTACCCTTTGGTTTTCCTTCTGCTGAATCCTCACAGGAGGTGACTGAACATAAAGTAAAAAGTCTTGCCTATTTTCTTTTCTTTTTTCATGCTTGACAATCTCTGCTTACATGTCGTGGGAAGGTAAGCATAGGATGGTGTCCTTTCCGTGTCTTATTTGTAAGCAGTTTTGAACAATTCAGGTGTTTGGGATTTCTTGTATCTAGGCATATGGTGCTTTCTTTTTGTTTTCCTACCCTTCACAGCTTCAAAACAGTTATCTATAAATAAATTTAATATCTTGATTTAAATGGAACAATAAAAAAGCCTTGTATCTGTTTTCCTAACATTAATAGGCTGAGAGTTCTGGGAGGATAACTGCTGATCTCTTGTGGGTTCAGGGGAAACCATTCCTGTTACTTTCATTCAGATTTTTTTATGTGATTTTAATGTATGTGTAGTCACAGAGGGCAGATTAAAGAAATAATCCAATGGACCATATTTTGAAATACAAGTGTGAGAGTTTTGTTTTTTTTTTCAGTAAAGAAATGTAAGCTTATTTTAATGTAAGCTATTGGTGCATCTTGGAAAGTTAAAATGTGAGACTATTGTAAATATTTTCAATGCTTCACTTCTGATAGCAAGTTTTACATCCTTTTACAATGTTTTGAAATAGCTGCCACTTCTTGTCACATAGCAGGACTGATTTAGTAATCAGTGATTTTCTTTGTTTATGTATTTAATGTTGTGCATGTACTGTGCAGTAAAATTCAAACTGCTTATCAGACTCATTTTGTTCTTAGATACATGGGTAACCTTATGCCCTTAGAATAGGATTAATGAAGCAGATAAAATGCTTGTTCCTGGACTGGAAGCTTTTAGAAAAGCTTCTAAAACCCAGTCCAAAGATTTGCAATCCTGTGTCCTGCAATTGTTCACAATCTCTCTGAATATCAGTCTCCACTGATTTCATAGTGAATTGGCTAAACCCACTTCCTAGTGAAAACTGGGAATGGTTGGCCTCATTCCAAGGGAATTTACAGTACAAATAATCACATTACTAACTTTATACAGGCAGTTCTAAACCATCTTTCACAACATGTGCTGTTAAAAAATGATAGGAGGTATAGAACACTGCATCATTCCATCAGGCAAGGCATTTTGAAATTGGTAGAGCCTGGGAATGCTCAGGTTCTTCTGAGCTTGTCAGCTCCATGCAGCTGCTCACCTTTCCAGATGTATCTATAACGATCTGTGACCACGGAGCATTGGTTCTGTCACCCACTCAGGCTGAGTCCTGCCCTTTGCACTGGTGGACAACACTAGTCAGATCAGTCTCTTCAGTGTTGAAGAGAAAACTGGGGCAGTCTCCAAGGAATGTGGGGGTAAGAAAATAAAAAGTTAAAGCCCAGGGAATTTGGTTTGGCTTATGCTTGTGGACTTTGAATACAGGACAGAAGCCTTGGATAGCTGAATTAAAAGCTGTTATCTTAAGACTATTTTTTTCTTCCTGTACTTAGAGCTATATGGTCCTTAATATCTGTTATCTACAGGAAGGGAAAATGCATGTGTTTCTAGGCTTTAATTTGTGATTGTGTTTTAAAAGTGTCATAGAAGCTACCAACGAGTCTTTTTTTTTTTTTTTTAAACTTACTATAAAGTGTAAACTGGGAGGGGCAAATACTGAATGATAAGGAACATTGTAACCTACAGATGAGATTGGCATTAGTCGAAATAATGTTATGTACGCCTACATCAGCAAAACTTCTAAAGCTTTATAGTTTAACAAGAACATTAAAATAAGAGTGTTGGTTCATCTGTTCTTTTCGCTCATGTGGAAGCATAAAGCCTTAATGTGTAATAAACTTTGCATGGAACATGCATCTTTTGTTGATGTTGTTCCTTACAATTGTTATATGTTGGTACTGCCTGTTTATAGTGTCATACTGTAAATCTAAACTCTTAACTAGAAAACTTGGGGTAGTTAATTTGGTGTAACAAATCAGGCAGATAAATGAATTGGTCTAATGCTTATGGTAAAAATGCAAAAGAGGCCTAATGTTTTTCAGTCAGTATTCAGCAGGGAGTAAATGTTTCTGGAAACTGTTAAAATAGTACTGCCTCAGAGTACTTATTAAATAGGATTCTGGAAGAAGGAATAAATTAAAACAATACTCAAGCACGAAGTCCTATTGCAACCTGCTCCGGAGATGACAGAAGGGAGAACAGTGTTGGGGTCATTCCTGCTCATTGGGTAGGATAACGCTACATCTGCAGAGATTCCCTGTCTGTCATGGATTTTCCTGTGACACTGAGGGAAAGATGGATAATAATACAGTTTTGTAGTCCCTCCTCAAAAAAATGTTTACCTATATCCATTTAGCAAAGAAACATTCATAAATGACCTCTTCTAAAAAAGAGAATAACAAATAAAACTGTATGGGAAGCAAATAACAAATGTGCTCAACTCTGATGATAGGAAAAAAGGACCAAAAGTCCTGTAAGGATTAGAAGAAAAACAAACATATACAACAAAAATATCTGAAGTCTTTACAAGCTCCTCCTTGAAAGAACAAAAAAGGGGAAAAAATCTGGTGATATATGGAGCCCAAAGAACTAAGGTTATTGAACCCTAGAATAAGCTACAAATTCTTCTCGTCTAGCTTGTATTTTGTTTAAAATGTTATTTTAACTACAAAAAACAATTTAAAAATAGTTTGGAGTTATTACCCAACAGGACAAGCAACAACAGATTTCATGATGACAACAAACAGCATTCCAAAGAAGCAGAATGGGAAGGCAATTCTGAAGCAAGAAAGGCTTGAAACTACCTATAATTTATGGAGTAAGAAAGAAAATATCAGAGGAAATCTAAAATAAATTTTAAATAATAACAATAATTTAAAAAGAAAAAGGAATTTAATGATTTCCTCTTTGCTTGCCTACCAGGATTGAAGGATGTATTTGAACATGTGAACTTCTGAATTACAGAAGAGGACACAAGTTGTTTAGAGCCAGTAATAAAATATTCTCTTGTATTTTGAGCCATAAACTCATATTTTTAGGTTGTAGCTTCTTATATGCGTTATGGTTGTGTAGTGCTAGGTTGCCCAGTGGTTGTGAATCACCTCAAACTGTTACGGCATTTGATTTTACGTATCTTCAGTGTTAGCAATGATTCTTTCAGTTGATTTCATTTCTACTTTAGAACAGGAAGATATGACATTGGAAGCTCTCATCTCATCCAATTTATTCAGCTGTAGGCCAAACTTGAGACTGAAATGTTTACAGCTCTCAAGAATATGGCAGAGCTTACTCATTCTTGGCTAGCATGACGATGCAATTTTAGTTTTTACGTTTAATACATCTGTTTGAAATATAAGGGAACAATTTTTCTATGTACAAACTGACCAGTAAGGAACTAAAATGTAGAAGAGAAAGTTGTTGTATAAGAAAAAAACGTTAATGAGGGTAACTAATGAATGCATAGTGTAATTGCTTTCCCCATCAACTGAGAATTTACAATATCGTTGTATCTTATCAAAGTGTCAGAGAATGGTGGTTTTTCATATGTCAAGAGGAAATATTTCCAATTTCAGGTCAACAGATGGATTTAATTATATACACGTCTTTGCATGTTCCTGGGAAATCTTAACTTGCGCTATTGACCATTTTGCCTATGCTGAGAATGTTTTAAAAACAGAGGATAGGTTAGGTCGACATTTGCACGGGAGATGGGCCTGTAAATAGCATTGAAATTTAATGCTGTTTTTTTAAACTTCACATCCCTTACATAATTTTGAAAATTTACTCCTGTTATATTAAAATAATTGTTACATTACTAAATTGCTATTTAACATTATTAAACTGTCATGTGCTAATATCAAAAATTATGAGTCCAAGGCCAGTTGTCCAAGTTCAATTTTCATTACAAAGCTCTGGAGGGAATTTGCTGCATTCTGTGAGTTTTTTTGTTGAAACAATTGAATTTTTAAAAATATTTTTTTAGTCATCAGTATCATATTTAACATAGTTATTTAAAATGCATGTGTTAGACTAGATTTTTTTTTTTTCATTTTTGTTTATTTGAAACACCTTTGCACTCAGTTTGAGGGATGCAACTCATATCAGTGCTTTATTTCTCAGACTTGTTAAAATGAGTATTACATTTTTATCTAGTTCTGTTTCCTGATATGAAACCAAAACTGCTAATTCTTACAAAAAGAATCACAGAATCACAGAATTTCTAGGTTGGAAGAGACCTCAAGATCATCGAGTCCAACCTCTAACCTAACACTAACCAGTCCTCCACTAACCCATATCCCTAAGCTCTACATCTAAACGTCTTTTGAAGACTTCCAGGGATGGTGACTCCACCACCTCCCTGGGCAGCCTGTTCCAGTGCCTAACAACCCTTTCAGTAAAGAAATTCTTCCTAACATCTAACCTAAAACTCCCCTGGCGCAACTTTAGCCCATTCCCCCTCGTCCTGTCACCAGGCACGTGGGAGAACAGGCCAACCCCCACCTCTCTACAGCCTCCTTTAAGGTATCTGTAGAGAGCGATAAGGTTGCCCCTAAGCCTCCTCTTCTCCAGGCTGAACAAGCCCAGCTCCCTCAGCCGCTCCTCGTAGGACTTGTTCTCCAGGCCCCTCACCAGCTTCGTCGCCCTTCTCTGGACCCGCTCAAGCACCTCGATGTCCTTCTTGTAGCGAGGGGCCCAAAACTGAACACAGTACTCGAGGTGTGGCCTCACCAGAACCGAGTACAGGGGGACGATCACCTCCCTAGCCCTGCTGGTCACACTGTTTCTGATACAAGCTAGGATGCCGTTGGCCTTCTTGGCCACCTGAGCACACTGCTGGCTCATATTCAGCCGACTGTCCACCATCACTCCCAGGTCCTTCTCTGCCTGGCAGCTCTCCAACCACTCATCTCCCAGCCTGTAGCTCTGCTTGGGGTTATTGCGCCCCAGGTGCAGGACCCGGCACTTGGCCTTGTTGAACTTCATACAGTTGACCTCAGCCCATCGGTGCAGCCTATCCAGATCCTCCTGCAGAGCCTTCCTACCCTCGAGCAGATCGACACACGCACCTAACTTGGTGTCATCTGCAAACTTACTGAGGGTGCACTCAATGCCCTCGTCCAGATCATTGATGAAGATGTTAAAGAGCTCATATGTAATGTCTACATTACAAGAGCAGAAAGATACGGGCATATTTTTCAAATTTAATTAACATCATCAGGCAGATAGAAGGGGTGCTTAATGGCAGCTCAGCTGATGTTTGGACCATAGTTTCGTAAGTCTAATTTTAGACTCCATTACCCATCTTTGTTCCTGAGTCATCTTAATTTGTCGGACTTGCATTAATCACAGCCACAATAACATGCTATATTTCTTGCTTTAGCACAATGAGAAGCACACTGATTCTGATAAATAACAAGCATGAGACACTTAAGAACAACCCAGTGGTCAGTTAAGTCATCCATTATTCTGTCTGTCTAAAAGCTGTACTGATACAATTATTGGAATATAAAATTTCATTATATCTCGCAATTTTGATAGCTTGCATCATAAATTATAAATATCTCTCCTTGAAAATTGCATGTTTATCCAGATCTTGTTTTTTGAATCATCTAATGATACAAACATATTGATAGTATTTATGAGTGGTTCAGAGTAACAGGAAGGTTGCTTTTCAATTCTTTTAAGTTATTATTATTAAACATATTACCTAGATGAAAATGTTACTAAGTGGATTGTGGCTTCCCATAACTTGGAAGTTTACCATACTTTTAGCAGGAAGCTGGATTAGATGAGCTCCCAATATTCTATCTACCCTAAATTTTGAAGATCCTATGAATATGACGATTTTCTTTTTCCTTCTGAAAGGAAGATACCAAGTGATAGAAGGCATAATGTCTCCTGTCAATGATGACTACAGAAAGAAAGGCTTGGTTCCAGCAAGGTACCGGGTAGCAATGGCAAAACTAGCACTGGAGACATCTGACTGGATTCGAGTTGATCCGTGGGAGAGCGAGCAGGAGACGTGGACAGAGACAGTAACAGTGTTAAGGTAATTACATTGCCTTTTCTTTCTTTATGAAGTTACTGACTGCCAGAAATCTGCCAGGCTGATGGATCAGTGCACAGAACTCACCCAAGCAAAGCATGTCTGTTTATGGCATCTTCTCCTACAAGATACAGTATTATATCTGTGACGATAGAAATTCGTGTTGCTGTCCTCTGAGAAATGTTATGTAATCAGCATTTCCATATCTGGAGTCTTTAATTTCCCAGTGCAAAGCAGAAAGGCTTCCCCCAAACCTGTGAATTGGTACTGCACTGCATAGTGATGTGCTTGTGCCATGTAAGTCACTAGGTGCCATGTGGAAAGCCTCTTTGACAACAATGTGCCCTGGAAAGCCATAGTCATTGAAAGAGTTGGGCAGCAAAGGTCTTGGTTCTCTTGTTATTTCTCTAGTTTTTAAGTCACTAAGCAAGTAATAGAGAGATCTCCATCAGAAACTAACAGTTCAAAACAGCTCTATTTGTCAGGAGCACGCTTATTCTAGATCAGCTATGTTGGCAGTATTATACCTGCAGGTTTATCTATTCACACTTCCTTAAAAAGCTTTTTTTGTATTAACTCTAATGGCAAGTTAAACCCAAGCCTATAATTGCTGAGGTTCTCCACAAAATCACTGAGTTTGCTGTTATTGTGCTAGAAGGAAAAATAAAACAATGTCTAAAGCCTGCCTAGAAATGCAACTTTTCCCCATATGCTTGCCGTTGATAACAAATGCATTACAGTGCAAGGTATAAAAACACAAACTTCTTGTGCTGAGCACCTTCTGGAAACATAGGGACTACAAAAGTCTACAGGCACCATTAAAGTGAAAGACTTTTTGGATGTCTTTCAAAAAAGAAAGTGTGCTGTAAGAAGTATTAATTATTTCTTATTCCTGCTCAGATTTTCTAACTTTCTAACTGAAAACAGTTGTTTGTATAGCTGAAGGCTTTAGCATGTGCCTTCCAACAACTGCCCAAAAAGCTCTTAGGGCTTTAGGTGAAAGCCATTATTTAAATAAAAATAAAAAAAGATGTTATTTCACAGAAGCATGCATAAGAACACCTTGTGTACTTGCTAAACACATGCAGTGTACAAAACAGCTAGTGCAGCCTTTTAGTTCAGCTTTTCCTTGGTTTACTGGGTGAACATAAACATCCAGTTGCTTCTTTCCCTTCCCTCTAGCCAGCAGAATAGGAGTAAAGTGTGGTGAGGGGACTCAAGACACCCTGCTAGTCTGTCTTACGCTGTTTTGTCTAATCACATTGGTAAGTGGTATGCACCAGTGAAGGAAATCACCAACAGTTCTGTCCTGCGACGTTAGCTGGGTATGGGATTTCTCCTCCAAACTTTCGCTTTGTAAAACTAAATCCTTGCAGAGAAGGAGCCACAAATCCTACTGATCAGGTGATCCTACTTACAGACTTTGATCTTGCACAGCTCCAGCTGAATTGAATACTACTTGCAAAATTGGGTTTGTAGATGGTAAAGTTAGGATAAAATGTACTGCATATAAAAATTAGGATAAGAGGTACTGTAAATAAAACCTCTATGCATAACTTTTTCCTTAGGAAATATAGTATCAACGTGGCATGAGCAGCCAAATTGCCTTTCTGCCTAGAAAGTAAGCCACTAGCTTCATAAATAAATTGACAAAATGTTGAAATGTATGCCTACGAAGGAGAGAAATTACTTTGAAGCGTTTTTTTTTCCAAACAATGACCTATATTAATGATTTGAACCAATGCCATAACTTAATGCTGAACCCTGTCCTTTGTAAACTTTGTCCCTTGAAAGGGGAAGCAGCATCTTCATGAAACGGCACAGGTTAGTGCTTTGGTTTTTACACAGTAACTGTCACATTTGAATATTAAAAAGAAGAGGTGGTTTTAGGGCTAGATCCTTACTAAGGTTCTCCCCTAGTTAGAACTTAAACTCGTTGCCACCTGCATTGTAAGCCCCCTCAGGCAGGAAATGTTAGTAGCAGTAGGAAGAGATTTTGTTACTGCAAGGCAGTCAAAACCTGTTGTACCTAGATGTCTCTTCCTTCCGGTGGTTTGAGTTGTAAGCTTAACTGTAATAGGACATTGTGCCCTGAAGGGGAGGCGTGAATGGCCTTGTCCTCCAGTATTTCTTTTACCTGTGTGTGCTGATGTTGTCATATTTTATCAGAAGCTGTGGATTATGCAGAGGATTCCAAATAGTTACGGCATAAAGGAACTTCAAACAGCAGAGCTGATACCCCACTTGTGGTGATGCCATTAGTTGCCTCTTACATTGAGTATGGAAGTTTTGAAGACTGTCCCAGTGCTTGCTGGAGTGGTTTATTTTCATACAATATTGTCAGAAGAACTACTAACCAACGAACTACATCATTCCTCTTGTAATGTAGATTTAACTGTAGTGCAGGTAGAAATTTGCCAATTCTAAATTAAATCATGGTATGTCTTACCCAACAAGATTTTCTGAATTGTGCTTGTGATTTTAATTATATAGATACTTGAAGCTTCATGCAGAGTTCAGAAAATGCTTGATAAACTGACAAGCCAATCTGTCCTTTTTGGTGTCTCTTTAAAGTAACATAATCCTCCCTACCCCAGCATCTGAAACGTCTGCTGAACAGACCTTTTGGCAGCTAAGACTTTGCATTACTTGTGCTGTTAGTCCTGCAGTGAGTTCTTTGCCAAAAGAGCTTATTTTTGAATCGAGGCCCAAGAATGTCAATCCATGATGTGAAGTTAGTGTACTTGACTATACATAGCATCAGCCTGTTTACAAGAAGGCAGGATCAAAAATAGAAATGTAGGAAGGCACAGGCCAAGCTATTGCTACCTACTCTCTCCTGCCATATGTCCCGCACCCCTTGTCTATACAGTTCCTTTAGACAGTGGCTGAGCACCAAAAATGACTGGAGATAATTATGCAGCCTGGCTAGGTGTATATTCTTGGCACTTGTGCAACTTATTACTGTGGCTTGAAGTACTGAGCGTGATTTGAAAAGTGTATATTTATAAAGTCACTAAACTATAAATTCATTCCTTAGGCAGATGTTCAAAAGGTTATCTATGGCTTTGTATAAATTCTGAATTTGGACAGAGTTAAGGGCAAAACTTTACCTTGTCACCCATAATCTTTGCTCTGACACAGTTGTATAAGACCCTGCAGTCATTTTGCTTATATATTTGCTGGACAGACATAAGGTGCTGGCTTTCGTACTCAGCTGTGACCGCACTGTTTAGCAATATGCTTGCTTCCTGATGCGATGTTGGCTTGTGCCAATTAATACAAGCATTGCATAATCATGGCTCAGGATGGTGCAAGACTGGGGCTGTTCTAAACAGGCAAGGCTGTGCTTGAAGGAAGAAAGCTGAGGTGTATGGATCTAACGTTGCCACTTGCCCTCAGAGTCAAAGAAGGAGCCACCACCATGAGGAGGCAGTACCAGCGTACAGTGGGGCACCAGTGATGCAGAGCAGCAAAAGAATAAAGTAATTGAAAATCCAGAAAATGACAAAATAATTCTTGCATGTCCTCATGGATCTGAAATCAGTAAAGTTAGAGGCATAGCAAGTGTGCAAAATCATACAAGAAATATGTATTTTGAATTTCTGGGGATTGTGATCACTTTAATTAAAATGAAAAGCACAAGGTGAATGCTCAGGGAACATGCTTTTGTGGAGAACAGGATGAGAGGAAGCTCGTGAAAACTTTTAAAAAGCAGGCATTATAGAAACATCGTTGTGTCTGAGGGATTCTATTTAATGAAGAAATTAAATATACTGATTGAAGTGTGATTGAAGTGTGCTTTTTTTTTCCTAGCAAAAACCTCCATAAAGTTTTAAATATAATGTTGCTACAAAATTCTCCCTAATAGTAGAATTTCAAAAAGGAACTGAAAAACAAAATGTCATTACACGGATTGTTTGCAGTTGTGCTAAATTTAACTACATTTCCACTAATCTTGGGGTAGAAGGAATATAGTGTGTTGGTGGTTTTTTTTTGTTTGTTTTTTTTAACAAATTATATTCAAATCCAAAGTGCATAAAAGTAGACTGTGTTCCTGAATCTGAAAGCACTGGGTAATCGCTTTGTGCATCTCTGAGAGGATTATCTCACACAGAAGCCTTTATTTTTTAAATGCAGGCACCATTACAATGAATCGCTCAGACTGCTGCAGTACAAGAAGGAATTCATAAAGAACAAACAGCCCTTAGAAGGATCTACAGAGAATTCCCTTTCTTCCCACTACACAGGTTGGTTCGTAGGTCTCAGCGTGACTTTGTTCGTTAAAACAATAAAAACAGCATTAAAAACCATACAACTTCACCAGATTGAACAAATTGATGAAGTTGAACACAGTCGCTGCTAAGTTTTGCAGGTTGGAGCTACCTGCCAAAAACAAGCCATGCCAAATGCCAGCGTGACTACTGGTGCAGTTACTTTGTAGTAATTTCCACGCAATAAGGAGATTTCCACAACTCTTCTACAATAAGGAGACTTATTCCAGGGTTGTATTAATTTTTGGTTTTATAAGCATCGGTTTAGCTGTGTCAGAGATGTATGCTGTGGCCTTGCTGGTTCTGCTAAGTATAAAGTATATTATGAAAGAATATCAATAAATACGGAGATTATCTATAATTGTAATTCTTATGTTATACAATGAACAAAGTATGTGGATGGCAAATCTTTGCTAAGGCATTGTTTTGTTGGTTTGTTTCACTGCATTTCTGGATAGAAAAGTCTCTACTGGCATTAGAAGTATGACAGATTCTGGAAACACCGTCAGCTTTTGGTTTCCTATTTATCATATTCCCTAGCTCTGTGTTTTGCTAGGGTACTGGTGGATTTCTGATACTTTACATATTTCCTGTGGTGTTGCAGCACTGCTTGTACATGAATGATCCATGTAAGTTATGCATGGCTACACAAAGACTTCCAAAGTATGGGCTGTTCTATCATTAGAAATGGTAGAGGAATAAGCTAAAGGAATAAAAGTCTCTGGTATTTGGACTGCAGTTGAATCTTGTCTGATGGGGTTTATCGTTGTTGACAAGTGAGAAGTCACGTTTTTCTCATTACCACATTGAGGAAAGTGAGTGGAAAAGCAGGTGAGACTGTTTCAGCTTTCCTTGATGTAAAATTTCTCCTTTGGGTATTATTTTCTTTAGCTTTTTCAAGCTTTATGGCATTTTCTGTTTAAAAAAAAAAAATAACAGAAAATTTTTGAACTAGTCTTTCTTTCCTGTTAAAGTTTCTTAGTATAGATTCAATCAGTCACCAGCACAGGTTTCCCCTAAAATCAAAAACAAACTACAGCAAAAAGTGGGTGAAAAGAAGGACTGACAAGAAACAGAACTCCTTGTCTAGGACATGGTGGCTGGATTTTTACTATTCATATTCTATTGGACAGCTAATCCCAAAGAACTTCCTGTTGTTGTGGACAGGAAGAAGTCTAGCAACCTGTTGCTACTTACTTTTTCAGCCTTGAGCACTTTGTCAGACAGGGCAAAAATATGCACATGGCCCACCAGGAAGGAATGGAACAGTTTTTCCCCTTCATTTGTTCGCTAGCATGCAGTGGAATGGAGCACAGGGAAAAAGATCGAGTGCTACTGAGAACGCCAGATCAGAATATAGTTCCTTCAGTCTCTGAAAAATGTATGTTGGTCAGCACAAACTTTCTAACAGGAGGCAACTGACACTCAGTTTTCCCTCCCAACACATCACCCTTTCAACCAAACCAATGAGGAATTGATTAAAACTCTTGAGTCAGGATTTTCTGTGAAGCTTAAAGGAAGGCTCTTCCATATAATGGAAACTTTCACAAAGTTCGAGTTGGATTTAATGGTACGAAATTCCATACTATTTTTCTATTAGATGTATGTCTACTAAACTGTAAGATTCCTTTGTTGCTGACTGTCATAAAGTTGTTTCAAATACGAAAATCAGGTCATTGTAGTATGCATTGCAAATAAAAAGGTTCATTAAGGAAAGGTATTGACAAATATTGTGGTTTTATTAAACTTAGAATAACTTATTTGTGCTATCCATTTAGGATGTAAAAGAAAAGACTACTGGGTCCTTTTGTTTGGTTATTAGTGTCCAAACTGTAAGCATCAGAAACAGCTAAAACAAACTTATTCTCAGAGACTCATTATTTTTCTGTACTTGATAGCTTGTAATGCTTACAATACCTTGGAAAAGTCTCAGGATAGCTCATAGTTCCTTGCCTGTGTTCTGAAAATTTTGTCATTATGGTAGCATAAATTGTAGGTAGTCTTATTGAAAAAGTTAGATGAAAATCTGGAGCTGCCCTAACATCTGAGTTCAACATTTTTATTCAAAAGTAGCATCCCAATCAGTGTAAAATAGAGCAAGTCAGATAAAACTAGTGTGTTACAGATGGCTTTGAAAGGACTTCCAGAATCATTAACATCTAATGTTTCTTAAAAGTTCCTCTCAGTCCCTCATATACTGTTCTGCTAGGATTTACTGTCCCTTCGTTATTCACCAAGCATAGCTTCACATGCCCTGTTTCTTTTCCTGCTTACAAGTGATAGATGATTGTCTTCATTTTGCTTTGAATTGAATTCCCTGCACTTCAGGTCTCTTAGTTGCCTTACGCAAACAGCTTTGCTGTCACCTTTAAAATGTTTTTTTCCTGGAGTAATCCAACAACAGCCATCCTTCATTAGGCCTTGCTAATTCTTAAATCCAGCTACTTCCTTTGTATTACTTCTCCTTAGCTTACCCTCTCCTTTCTCTCTGCACAACACTGCAAAAAACTAGGATTTGTTTGCCCGACTATTGATTGAGCTATGCTGATCAGAAACAAGCAACAATTTCCCTGCTTCAGACGTGCCATAGCCTGAAATAAGGGTTATTGCACTTATCAGAAAATGGAGCACTGTAACATTTGGATTATTTTAATTATTTGGATATTATAGCATTACAGTTAGTGGAAGCTGCAGATCACTACTTAGCAAAGTGTCCTTGAAGGGCCAAAGACACATGCTTCTTATTGGCGCAGATCTGGGGATGTGTGGAGATGGATTTTTTTAATGAATCTCTCATTTATTTTTCTCTTTACAGTTCTACCAGAATTAAAGCTGCTTTGTGGGGCTGATTTTCTACAGACATTTCAGACACCCAATCTTTGGAAGAAAGAGCATGTCAAAGAAATTGTGGAGAAGTTTGGGTTGGTCTGTATAAGCCGTGCTGGCTCTGATCCTGCTCAGTATATCAGTGAATCAGAACTTTTAACTAAATTTCATCACAATATCTTTCTGGTGAAAGAATGGATTCAGAATGAAATAAGTGCAACACAGATACGTTATGCCTTGTGCAGAGGATTAAGTGTAAAATATCTTGTCCCAGATTCTGTCATATCCTACATTGCACACCATAATATCTACACAGAAGAAAGTGAGCGGAAGAATGAAGGTGACTTGCTTCAGCCTCTTCGGTTGCATAACACAACAGTAAGCCCACTAAATGACTGATGCCGGTAGTGTGTGGAGAGGACAGACATTGCATTTTTTTTTTTTTTTCCATGTGAAATTTTGGAAAGATGTTTCCCCTAATAAGGGGAAAATACATCAGCCCAAAGTTTCTTGAATTCATGTGGTGTTTTAAATTGATGTTTTCATTTGTGGCAGTGCTTTATCCAATCAGCACACTCAGTTGAATATATTAAAAATAGAAGGAAAAAAATCTTAGCAATAAATAATAATCTCCAGTAATACTTAAAGGTCAAATATGGTACTTTTCTGAACTGTAATTCTTTAATCCTACAGGCAGTTTAGAATGAAGATGCCTTACTGTTCTGAAGCAGCAAAATTAAATGAGCCATAACTTTTTCTTACTTATATATATATATCTTTTTACATATAAAAATGTGTATATATATTAAAATGTTTGTGTATATCTATAAAAAAACACTCCTAAGCTTTTGACTTTCTGGACCCCTGAATAATTTTTGCTTCTGATGGGTACAAGTGGTGTTTTGGCAGTTAGGACAAGAGATAGAATAGAGCCTTTTTTCATGCAAGTGCTTAAAAATGCATGCACAATTCATGTCAGTTGTATATCTCCTGATTTACAAATGAAAGACAGTCCTTATCATTAAATGTAAAGTGTTTCTTTGCCTCTGTGATCCAGAATAAGTAATTCGAAGAGTAAGTAATTGCCAAAGCTGTGGAATAGATAACATATCCAAAAGAACTGGGTCATTAGCAGCTTTTTTGCTGTTGAAAAAGTGAGTTAATGTTGTCAGTCATATCATAAAGTGAATCAAAATGTAGTTGATATTCTCCATGGATTAATTTATTTTCTTAATTTATCTTGTATTTTCTTGTTCCTTTGTCATGGTAGCAATGTAAAAGGAAAAAAATGTATTTTTGTTTTTCAGAGAACCCTAAAAAAAAAAACTTTTTTCATGAGTAATACTAAAACATGTCCAATCTTTACTAGGCCAGAGAGTCAAGCTCAAATTTTTGTTGTATAAAAAATGTAAGTTATGTTGTCTTTTTTTTACAGGTGTATTTACTTTTAAGTAATAGGAAAAGGTGGTATCAAATAAACAAGTAAGGAAAAAAAAACAAACACTCTTCATTGCAGTTTAAATATAACACACTAAAGTTTCAATAAGTTGTTCTTTTCAGAACTGTTACTTAGACTAGGTGTATCTGTTTGTAAAGAAAACCATTAATTCAGCATAGTCCTCTGTATTGATGAACAAATAAAATGGAAAAGATACTGTTTTTGTGCCAAAATAGAGAAGTACTGTGATGATAACAGCATGGAGTTTAAACTGTACCATTTGAAAAGACATGAGGGAAAATATATTAAAATAGCTAAGAGGCTTTCTCAGTATTTGAGCACTAAGGCTAGCTTGACAAATCTATTCTTTTGTATGTTGATTGCCTATTTTTCTGATCCAATCTAGCTCACTTTTAACAGAAGACACCTTCAAAGAATATCAGGGGGATAGCTATTCAGTGAGCAACAACGAGCATGTGAAGGTTGCTATAAAAGCACTGCAGTATCTTTGATTTTCTGATACTCAAGGAAGAGGAAGGAAAACAGCCAAAAACCTGACTTGAGGCCTTAGAAAGGTGTAGTTCCTTTTTTACTTCTTAAACAGATATGCATAAAACCATGGTGTAGTAGAATACACACTACTGCAACGGACTTTATGTTGAAAACTAGCTACTGGCTTGTCTGAAAGCAAATTGCTGTTACGTCTTGTCACTGAGTGATTGCTAGCATTTGACACTTTCTGTAGTGGCACTAACATGCAAATTATTTTTTGACATAAAAGCACACGTTTGATTCTGAAGGTTCCTGCTCTACAAATTACTAAAATGTAGGAGAGTTATTCCTTTGCACTGCCAGAATCAGGGATTGGAACTGCAAGGACCTTTGGTGTAGTGCATTAGAATTGTTTGGATGTTATCCCTTTGAAATAAAGAACTCCGCTCACGTAGTATAACGCTGTACTGGGTGAGGGTGGAAACATGGGCATACACAACTTACACAACATACACAACAGTGACATTAGGGAACTAAATTTGGCTGAAAAAGGCAAAAAAGAAGTGAATCTCTGTGTTCCAATGTTTAAATTAACTGAGAGCATGCACTGTGTTGTGATGCAGCATTTATTACGAACGGTGTTAACCACAGCTTCTTCGTGCAAGATTCCACCTAACTGGCCTGTTTTGAGCCCTCAGCCGGCCCTACAGCTTCTATGGGTAGAATTAAAGAGCTTGTGGAACAAGTTAATGCCAGATACAGGTTGCTTCCACTGAAAGGGTCTTACAATTGTTTTCCAAATAGAAGGTAGCATAAAATAGCTGGAACATAAGTAAGTAGGATGTGCCTAAAAAAAAAAAAAAAACAAACAAATACACTGGTGCATACCCTCTGTGAGTTTAGGTAATAACTTAAACTAAAGCCATTTAAAAGATCTTACTTTTGAGTGGCTTGAAAAATGAAGAGTTAATATGGTTAAAATGGATCTCTAGATAATCAGTGGCCTTACAGAAGCTATAGGGAAGGTAAATGTTTCATTCTGTTTATATCAAGTTATCGTGGTGTCATTAGAAATCTCAGAAGTTCAGCTTTGTGGAAGGATTTAAAGGCAACACTTCAACAATAATCGGATTAGAAGGACTTGCATAGCTACATGGTCTAAAAAAACAGATAAAAGAAACCAGAGTTCAAACTTGCCACAAAGAAAGGCAGTGAGCTGTGAGGTGCAGAATCAACACGCTGTTCTGAGTCTTTGATTTCAACAGTTACCCAAAGTAGGGATGCCTGCAGATTTCAATGGTTACTGGAAAATGATCAGCAATGACAATTTTGAGGAGTATCTGAAAGCACTGGGTAAGCTTCCTTTCATGTTTCTTTGATAAATAATCAATAAATGCTACCTGTCTTAGTCTTGACATGAACCTATTTTTCTTTGTACAGTAATAAATCATTTTTGCAATAAATATTTATTTTGGGAATACACTGTAAAAATTGCTGTATGCAAGATTGTCTTAAGCAGTCTTTACTTTTTAACATCTTGACGATTAATTTTACAGTGATTAAACTACCTAGCTGAAAGAGGTAAGAGGCAGATTTCAAATTTCAAACCCAACCATAATCTTAAAGTTTCACGTGTGCTAAGGAGGTAATGATGTACTTGATGCTATTCTGCATGTTTACATTTGATGAAATATGCAAAATGCTAATAGTTCTACAGAAATACTGATACCCTTAGTAACTGTGAAATGCAAGTGGTGTTTTTTAGGGTTCTACATAATCAGCAAATCAAGACAAACTTATTTAAGCTAAAAGAATTAGGCTATGGATTTTTCCTTTTAAGCAATCTGGCCTGAAAGATCTGGATGTTTATTTATCCATGTTCATTTTAGTCCTTCCAAGAGCTACAAGCCTGCTTTTGTGGTAGACTTTTTCTGGATTAAAATAACTCTTTTTCTTTTTCAGATGTAAATGTTGCTGTAAGAAAAATAGCAAACTTGCTAAAACCTGACAAAGAAATCCTTCAGAATGGGGATCATATGATCATTAAAACGCTAAGCACTTTTAGAAACTACATCATGGAATTTGATGTAGGGAAGGAGTTTGAGGAGGATTTAGCTGGGGTGGATGATCGCAAATGCATGGTAAGCATTAGAACTGTAACAACTGACCAAAAAAAAAAAAGACTATTAAGACTATTAATAATCCAAGGCCTTTCACAGACAATATCTATAAGCCATTTTATGTGTCTGTTCCTAAAATTATTCCTGTGACTTTTTTTCAATGAATTAATAGTAATTTCAATTAAATGTTACTCAATTACATGGGAATATCTGTTGGACAGAAAGATGTTTACATTTGAGTTTTCAGAATCTCTTGGTAGACTAATATTTTACGGTACAAGAACAGCTGCAGGTCTAGGTGCTCTTCCCCATGTGCAACAATGGCCAAGTGTTTAGAAACCTGCTGCTATTCTTATTCTTGTTTTTGTGTTCCTTCCTTTCTGTGCGTATTTGGTAGAGCAGATGCGTTAATTAGCTTTCTGGAACAGATCTTTGTAGTCAATAAGCAAACACCAACAACTCTGCCTTATGAGCTCTTTTTGCTTGCCAGAAAGACGGTGTTTTCTAACTTGTGACTGATAAATACCAATTAACAGAGAAAACTTGAGAATACAAAGTTCTTTAGGTGAATATGACTGGACATTTTTTTTCCTGTTAGTTCAAGAACATGATGCTTGCAATATCCCACGGTGAAGAAGTTGATAAGCACAAGAATTATTTCAGGAGAGACTAGAGGAGTAATTATATAAAATGGAATTAATAGGTTTCCATTCACAGATAGATACTGCCATTTACAAAGTACTGTTCTCCAATGTTAGGGTATATACATTTACTTTTGCTCTGGTAATGGTAAGGCAGGAAATGAAGGATCCCAAAGACCAGGAAAAAAAAAAAAAAACAACCTCTAATCAGCAAGCAAGGACCTCAGCTAATCCCTCTGTGTTCCTTGTTAGAGAAGGTAGAAACGTGATAAGAGTACAGAATACAAAAGTCACAAATGGGAGAATCAAAGTATATTTGTGTAAAGGAAAGTGGCATAATGTCATAATGCATTTTTGATTACTGGAAAGCTCTTCACCAAGGTGATGAGGTCCAGATCCACCAGTTATGAGCCTAAGGAAAAATTTAGGTGGCTAAAGTACTGTCAAAGATAGCGATAGCAATGTTCAAGTCATCTACTCAAGTGCTAAAAATGTCTGAGTCCTCCATGTTTAATTCAGTGAACTGTTGGTTTGTGTGAGTACAGAACTGTTTTCAGCTAAGCATTATCTATACTTAAACACCGTTGAGCTCCAGACTAAAACATCCTCTACTTGGCAGAATGAAGTAATTGTGCTAGCATATACCTGCAATGAGTTCTCATAAACTGTGTCAGACAACTGGTGTGCTGAAAAATCTGATTCAGAAAACATGAAAATGTGGCCCTTGACCAGCCATGCTTTTGAAATGCTGAACAAATACAGCACAACTTCTGGTTCACTGAAAAATACCCTTAACACTACACTATTTATAACAGGTCAATATTAGCTACCCTATTTTGCTAAATTGAGTGATGGGGAAGAATTCAAAGTGCTGAATCAGAAAGAAGAATGTAGAGACTATTCTAGTAACTAAAGCAGGTATTAGATTTGGGGTGGAACCTAGATCACCCTGATTTCATGTGTTGCTTAAACAATTTGTATATTGATTGTTTAGTGCAAAATCAGTCAGCCTTGGAAAGAGGAGGTAGCTTCATCTTCTTGCCTTTTCAAAAAAAAAAAAAAAAAAGTGGTCTTGCTAACCCTAACCGGTTGTTTCTTTGTTGAGAATGACTTAGACATACAACTTCACTAAAGCTTTCAGAAGTCTTCAGTATCTCTTCATGACCTCCCACATCATAAGCAGATACCAACTGCAGCCCTAAAACTAAGGTCACTCTTAGTGACTGTTGCCTTGTAGCAATGTATCATACTTTATAGTTCAATTTTCTGACTAAAGATTTATTTTCTTGGTGAAACCACAGCTTTTCCAAAGGAAAACAGTACAAGGAGCTGTTTTTTGGAAGCCACTTCAGTCCAAATCTGATAACTGTACCGTCAGGCAAGGCTTGCATTTTGCAATGAAATAACTCCAGTGGGCTGGAAGCCTTGTTAAGGAAGGATCATGGAGGTGATGCAAGAGATACTGGAACACTCCCTGACTGGTGTTATGAGGAAAGCCACCATAAAAACAAAGGTTGAATGTGATTCTTAATGTTTCGTTTCTTCATCTATAGCTTGTGAAACTGCACACCATAAATGGCTTAATCATTAATACTCAATCTGTCTAATGGGAGAGATTATGAATCGTTTATCTATATTATGAACTGAGGAGACCACTGGGCAAGTTCTCTCCTTGCTATCCTGCTGTTCTTCCAAGAAGCTCAACGTGTTAGAAGTACAAAGTAACATGGATAAGACAAATTACACATTAAACATTAGTTTTATAAAGCAGAGCAATCATCATGAGACTAGTAAAAATAACCTTAGAAATCATTCATGGATCATGTTTCTTTTAATGAAAAATATATTTTAAGAGTCATCTAACTAGAGTTAGATGTAAAAATAATAGTAGCACAGTAAAAATAATAGTAGCACAGTGAACACATTGGATCTTGTTTGTAATTCACTAAAACTTTGTTCACCTTTCAGTTGTAAAATGCA